GGGGGTGCTGTGCACAGAGGTGGTCTCGGGGAGATGGGGGGGCTGATGGTGGTCTCCTCCCCTCCTTCTCCTCCCCCAGCCGTGGCCAGCCCCCTCCAGCAATGCGGGGAGCGACCAGAGGACTGGTGTCGCGACGTGGGGACAGCGGCCAAGTGCGGGGTGCTGGAGCTGTGCCGGGCCACCGTCTGGGACCAGGACCTGGGGGTAACTCTGCTGGGATGGGGACTGGGATCCTGCCCCAAAAACCTGGGGCTGGGGATGGAAGAGTCCTGGCCTGATGCTCTCAGATCATCTCTGAGCTCTCTCAATGGTCCTGTGGAGAGTGGCAAAAACGAGAGGGTGGGGAGAGAGGTGATGGTCCCAGGATAATGAAAGGGTGTCCCTGGGGCATTCCCACCTTTGGCGGGGTGTCTTGAAGGCTGGGAGTTGGGGAGCAAGGCTGGGTGCTGTGCCAGCATCCGAGTCCATCTCCTCTCTCAGCAGAAAGGGATCCCGTGTCACCTGTGCCAGATGGCGGTCTCTGTGGTGGGCAAGATCCTGCAGGACAACCGCACTGAGGTGGGTCATGGTCCTGGGGGGGCTGAACTTGGGGCTGGCGTGTCTTCCCCTCCTCACAGCATACTGTCAGCCCAGCCCTGAACTCTCCCCTTGTCCCTTAGGAGAAGCTGAGGCTCTTCTTGGATAAGAGATGCCAGTACCTGCCATTCCAGGACTGGTCTGTCAAGTGCAAGAAGATGGTGGACACTGGTGTCCTCATCCTCACCCAGCTGGGCAAGCAAGTGATGGTAACTGGCAGGGGACCTCCTCTCTTCCCCCCCCAGGGATTTGTCTTTCTCCATGGTTTGGGAATATCTGGTGGGCTTGCAGGGCAAGGGAAACTCTTGGGAAAACACCTCTGTGGGGAGGAGATGGGGATGGAAATGTCTAGTGGATGGGGAGGAGCAGGGTGATGGGGCAGTCATGGTCCCAAGCCAGGTCCCTTTGCTATTCCAGTCGGACCCAAAGGTGGTGTGTGGGACCATCAAGCTGTGCCAGTCTCCAGACAGCCCTACAGGGGGGGCCCTGAAGTTCCAGAAGCCACCACCAGCCCCCGCAGGCTCTGCTCAGGACTTTGCCGACCTGGTTGTCCCCTTCATCGCCAATGTGCCCCTGCTGCTCCATCCCCAGCACCAGCCTCGTGGCCAGGCCCAGGTACTGAGGCACAGGCACCAGTGCCATCCACGGTGCTCAAGGGCAAGAACCCCCTGAGCATCACCTGTCTAACAATAATCCAGAAAAGGTGTATTAAAAATGCTGCTCAGCTGAACTGGGGTCTCAGCAATTTGGGGCATTGCAGGATGCAGGGAGGGGACCAGGAAGATCATAGAGTCCCAGACAGGTTTGGGTTGGAAGAGACCTTAAAGACCATCTAGTTCCAACCCCCCTGCATGGGCAGGGACACCTCCCACCAGCCCAGGTTGCTCCAAGCCCCATCCAACCTGCCCTTCAACACTGCCAGGGATCCAGAGCTTCTTTGGGTAACCTGAGCCAGTCTCTCCCCATCTTCACAGTGAAGAATTTCTTCCTAATGTCCAACCTCGATCTGCCCTCTTCCAGTTTAAAGCCATTAACCCTTCTACAAGGTGCTGGCCAAAAAACCTGCCCAGTTTGCCAGTGGAATTGAAATCCCAGCCCTGCAAAACCAAGAGGGCAGTGGCAGGGTGGGATTCTAGGGGGGGTTACCTATGTCCCCCCACCTCTGTTGCCCCACAGGAGCTGGAGGAGGTGTGTGAGGACTGTCTGCAGCTGGTGACAGCCCTGCAGCTGGAGCTGGGGACCAGCACTGCCTTCACCAGGGGGCTGGTGGCCCACACCGAGCGGGCGTGCGAGGGCCTGGCCCCCCGCCTGGCACAGCGGGTAAGGACACATCTTTGGCAGCCACCTGCTTTTTTTTTGGGGGGGGGCAAGAGGGTGCTGGCAGGGTGGTGGGGTGTCCCCCCTTGGGAACTGATGCTGTCTGCTCCTGTTTCCCACCTCACAGTGCAAGCACTACCTGGCTCAGTATTCCGACACGGCCACCCGGCTGCTCCGGCACCTGGTAAGCAGGGATGTGGTTGTCCAGGGATGGGTGGAGATCCTGAGGGCACATGGGGCCCTGCTTTCCTACCAGCAGGATCTTATTTTAAAATTAAACTCACTGCTTTTTATCCTGCTGTAATTCCTTTTTTCTTTTGTATTTCTGTTTGTTTTCTTCCTCTTGCCAACGTTCCGTCCCAGCAGGCTGAGGTGAGCGAGACCTGCACCCTGACATGGGGAACTCTGTGTGTGTGGAGGGGGGGTTATGGGCTCACCCTCCTGGGGGCAGGGGGGTGATACCCACCCAAATGGAGGTGTCTGTGTCCCCAGGACCCAAGGGAGCTGTGTGGCCACCTGGGACTCTGCTCCTCCTCCTCGGCGCTGCCCCTGCACACCCTGCTCACTGAGAAGATGGTGCAGGTCCTGAGCACCCTGGGGGTAAGTGGGGAGAAACCGCGCCCCCCCTCCTCCCCCCCCTTAAAACCCAAATGCTAGGAAGGGGGAAGCCTTATTTTACTTTTTTTTTTTTTTTTCCCTCCACCATGCCCACTTTTGTGAACTGGGGACTCAGAGAATCCCAGACTGGGTTGGGTTGGAAGGGACCTTAAAGACCATCTAGTTCCAACCCCCCTGCACAGGCAGGAACACCTCCCACCAGCCCAGGTTGCTCCAAGCCCCATCCAACCTGCCCTTCAACACTGCCAGGGATGGGGCAGCCACAGCTTCTCTGGGCAACCTGGGCCAGGCTCTCACCACCCTCACAGTGAAGAATTCCTTCCTAAGACCTACTCTAAACCCACCCTCTTCCAGCTTGGAACTGCTGCCCCTCCTCAGCCATTTCTGAAAACACTGTCCAAATTTCAGGCAGAAACTGACTGGAAACTTCTGCTTCCTAGCATGTGGTACTTACCTTCATCAAGGAATCATACTTGATTAATTTAAAAAGGACCTCAGGAAGCTGCCCTGAGCAAGCATAAAAAGTGCCTAAACTAGCCTGGAAACTCAGGTTGGGTGGCAAAAAGATCACGAGGCATTTCATGTTGCAGTTGCTTTGATGGCAGTTCCTAAGAAGAGTAATTCTTTACTTTTTCCCAGCTTGCAGACATTTTTTCCATTATCTGGACTTGTTCTTTAAAAATAAACAAATTCAATCCCTCTGAATCATGCAGAAGCCATTGAAAATCACACCCAAAATGCTAAACTTTCAGTCTGCAAAGACAATGACAAAAGAACTCTTGATAAAAAGCAGACTAGACATCATGCTTGTTTACCAGTGTCCTTTCTCTGGCCACATTAGGCACCTATGTCACCAATTTCAACAAACCTGGGACTATTCTCACACACTAGGGAAAAAAAAAAAAGAAAAAGAAATCTTTGCTTATTTTTGTTCCCACTTTGCTCAGCACCCTCCTTGCTCCTGCACCAAATGGACCTCACTGTGTGACATGACTCCCGCAGCAACAATTCAAGAATATGATATGAAATCCCTGATTCTGTGTCATTATTTGCATCTAGAATGTATTATTTAGGTGGTGGGGTTGACCATCACTGATTTGAGGTCAGTCACTTGACTTGACAGGTTCCCTGCTCCCTTTCAAGGCCCTGCAGACACCTCCCTTTCCTCAAAGTGTCTCCCCCCACCCCCCCTGCCCTGCCCCATCTCCTTCTCACAGTTTTAACACTGATAAATTGAAATAGAAAAGAAAACACAACCCCCAACAAATCTGCCCTGAGGTTTCACATGCTAAATGGAATGTCTTTCATGGGGGTGATGTCTGGGCAGGATGAGGGGGGTCTCTTATCACCTTGTCCCAGCAGGACTGGGAAGGGACCAGGCCTTTGTGTGAAATGTGCCAGTTTGCTGTGAGGGCAGCAGAAAGCCTCCTGGAGAACAACATGACAGAGGTGAGACCTGGGAACGGTGGGGCTGGGCAAGGGAGGGCAACGAGGTCTGTGTGTGTGTGGAGAGGAGGGTGGGAGGTCTCCCCATCCCTCCAGCCACCTTCTCCTGGCAGGAGCAGCTGGTGGATGACATCGAGAAGGTGTGCTACATGCTGCCCCACAGTGTCATTGAGCAGTGCAAAGACTTTGTGGACTCCTATGGCAAAGCTGTGGTCATCATGCTGCTGGAGGCCACCGACCCCACAGCTGTGTGCACCATGCTGCACTGCTGCCCCCACCACGGGGAGCCCCGCACGGGTGAGTTGATGGGTACCCTGGTGCCTCCCCAAAACAACCCAACAAACTGAAAATACTAGGTCCCCAAGGGAGCCAGGTGCTGGGTGTGGGGTGTTAATGGTTGTGTGTGTGTCCCCCCCAAGGGGCTGCTGCTGCTGCTCTGGAGCAGCTGGGGGTGGGCGCGGGGTCCTTCTGCAACGTCTGCCAGGTGCTCATCACCTACTTCGACAACGAGCTGCTGAAGAACGAGACGCTGGAGGAGCTGGCTGGTGTGCTGGGGAAGGGCTGCGAGCTGCTGCCCAGCCCCCTCACCGACAAGGTGAGATGGAAAGGGTGGGATGGGGCACCCCAGCCTGGCAGGGACCCCTCTCCCCCCCCTCCTTCAGCCCTCACCCCCTGTCCCCTCGGCAGTGCGAGGCGCTGGTGGTGCAGTACGAGCCGGCGGTTGTGCGGCTCCTCGTGCAGGTGTTGGACCCTGACTTTGTCTGCACTGTAAGTGTCCCCTCCACTCTCCTGGACACCTCCCTGGCCAGACCTGTGGGGTCTTCTTTTCCTTGTATTTTTTTCTACCCCCCCCCTTCCACTCTCTTCTCCCTTCGCAACGCAGAAAATCAAAGCCTGCGAGGTGCCCCAGGAGGACCTGCTGGGCTCAGACCCCTGTGTCTGGGGCCCACAGTACTGGTGCAAGAACATGGCCACGGCTGTTGAGTGCCACGTAAGTGTCACCCACGTGTGTGTGTGTCCTCCCCTGGGTTGACAGGGTGCCAGAGGGTCCCTGCCATCCCTCCCTGTCCCTCCCACAGGCCGTTGAGCACTGTCGGCGTCACCTATGGAACTAGGAGCCTCCTTGTCCTGCTGCTCTGGGTCAGGATCCTGGACTCTCTTCCCTGGGGATGCACCTGTGCCCACGGATGGCAATGGCATGAGCTCACTGGCCTCACCACCCCGCTGGGGGCTGTGGGGTGCTCCAGCCTCCTCTGCCCCACTCCCTTTTCCACCCCTGGGGCTTGGATTTCCAAATCAGATTAAGGGACCTAGTATTTTCGGGACTGGGGCGTGTGTGTGTGTCCACCTTGATGTCTCCCAGGGGGCCTGCAAAACCCTGCCATCCTGCCTCATCCCCATCTTCTTCCCCACCATCCCCATCCCAACATGACCCTCTCAGAAAGCCCAGATCCTGGTAGGTGGATCCAACCCCAAGGGCTGGGATGGTTCCTGCTGCCCAAACTCTGACTTCCAGCTCCCAGCAGCCTCACACTGGAGGTTCTGGGGAGCCCACCCAGCCTGGGGTGGCTTCATATTTCCTTTTAATTTTATTCCTCCCCGCCCCTTAGTCACCAAAGTGGATTAAATTTACCACCAATGCCCAGCTTTGCATGACAATGGCAGGACACATTTATTTTCCTCCGCAGCCAATTGCTGGAGGGAGATGATGCATATTTGAAATATCCCCTGGACAATAAAAAAATGAGGGAGTTTGGAGGAAAAAAAAAAGATTTCTTTTCATGCACACACACCTGCTGGGGGTGTGTGTGTGTGGGGTTGTCCTGTGGTAGCAAAGAGGGGCGTTGGGGGTGATGCCTGTGACCCCCAGTCCTGAGTGTGCACGGGAGCATCTCATCACAAATAAACTCTTCCCGTGAGCCCAACTGGTTTTCTCCTTCTTCCTTTTCATCCTGGATGGGGGTGTTGGGAAGGGGAGGGAGGGTACAAACCGGGGGTGGCAGGTTTAATGCTTACATCCAGGGTGCAGGGAGGTTTGGGAACGGTGATTTGGGGGAGGAAGGACAAGAGCCAGGGTACCCAAAGCCAGAGACAGTGTATTTCTGAGTCCCGTCACAGACCGTGCCCGAAACTCTCCACAAGGGGAACGAAGAGAAACAAACCCACCCACCCACCCCACCCCTCAGCGAAGGAACAAACCCAAAAGCAAGGGAGAAGGGGAAAGAAAAGGGCAGAAAAGGACCTGCACGAGCACATCCCCAGCCAGAAGCCCCAGTTATTGTCAAGTCTCTTTTTTTCGACAGCACAACACGTTTTGGTAAAGCCAAAAATGGAGAAACATCTTCACTTTGGGTTGGGTTTGTTTTAGAGGCTTTGGGGTTTGTTTTGGTTTTTTTTTTTAGTGGTTTCTTTATCATTATTAATTGTTATTATTTGGAGGTCTTTCCTTGCCGGAAAGGTGATGTTGATGCTCAATGGAGTTGGGCCAGCACTGCCCTGGCCCTGTGGCTATGGTTGAAATGTGATGGCTGCTTTGTCCCCAGCCTGCACCTGGGGCTGCTGTGGTGGCACATCATCATCATCTGCACCTTCCCTGCACCTTCCCCCGCCTCTCCAGCCTGGACTCCTTGGATTCATTTAGCTTTTCCTTTTTTTTTTTTTTAAAAAGGTGTTTTTTTAAAAAAACAAAACCCTCCTTTTAATTATTTTTAAATAAGAAAAATTAAAAAAAAATTTAAAATAAAATAAAATCATTAATGCTTTCATGGTTAAAAGTGACAGGTGAGTGAAAGCAAACGGGTCCTGAGAGCCCTTTCCCAGAGCCAAGCTCTCCCAGGCTGTCGGAGCCAACGGTGCTGGTTGACCTGGATTCCTTCTGCAGGAGAGAAGTGGGGGGGCCAAGAACCAGTCTCGGGGTGTCCCCAAGCCCCCACCACAGCCCCCCCAGCTCCATGCTTTGCCTAGAGGAGGACCATCACCACCAGCAGCACCATCACTGCTCGTCATAACTCAGTGATCTCCAGCGGGCTCTCCATGATCACCTCCCTCATCTTGTGCAAGGGGGTGGACTTGGCCGACTCGGTGCGGGCGTTGGGGTCCCCGTAGCCCCCACAGTCGGTGGTCAGAGTCTCCAAGGAGCGACCCAGCACCTTCTGGTCATCTTCAGGCAAGCTGTTGAGGTCAGAAGCCAGCAGGGTGCCCGTGCTGCCATGCACCACGTGGATGCCGTCAGGACCTTTCAGCTCCACCGGTTGTTTGTGTCGGAAGCGGAGGCTGCCTTGGCCTGGGCTGTGCTCGCCTTCCTCCTCCTCCAGCTCCTTCTGGATCAGCTGAAAAAAAAGGTGCATGGAGGGGTGGAGAATCACCGCTGCGGCCAGAGGAGAAGTTGGCCTCCCTGCCTCTGAACTTCCTGCAGTGCTGGAGCTCAGCGGGAGGGATGGGACTGTCCTTTTCTGGAGCAACCTCAGAATATGGTGATGAGGATCACCAGCTCCAGCTGGGTCATTTGCTCATCAGGTGGGTGTCCTGGCTCAGGCACTGGCTGCCAACTGGGTGATGGGTCTGGCAGCAGCCGAGGCCAAGGAAGGGTTTGGACCAGGGGTAGGATCTGGGGTTGTATGAGGGTGGTGGGGCAGGAGGCAGACAAGGAAAGGAGTGGAGGAAAGGTTAGGTGAGCTGGAGGAGGACAGAGGTGAGGAGTGATGGGGGACAGAAGGGCTGAAAGGAATCTCCCATCCCACTGCTCTCTCCACGTTCTATCCCCCCATGAAGAAGGTTGTGGCAGGAGCTGCTTCTTTCCTCTGGCACCAAAACCCTCTGCCCCACATTCTATCCCCCCATGAAGAAGGTTGTGGCAGGAGCTGCTTCTTTCCTCTGGCACCAAAACCCTCTGCCCCAGCCTTTTTGTCTCAAAACTATGCAGGGAGGAGCAGAAGGGAAGGAAGACGTCCACATGTCTGCAGGGACCTGCAGCTAAGAAGCTTGGCAGGCTGGCTGCCCCTTTTGCAGGCAGATGAGGTGGGAGAGACCAAAGGAGAGGAGGAAGCTCAGAAGAAACATGGATGGGGAGGTGGGGGTCAACAGAGCTGGGGCTGGGAAGACACACTGCATCCCAGAGGGCACAACAAGCACCTCCCCAAGCCCATGCACACCCTGTCTACCTCCGAGACCGAGGAGCGGTCCCCCTGACTGGAGGTGGCCTTAAGCACCATCCGCTGGGCAAAGAGCTTTTTCAAGCGCATGTAATCATCCAGGACCACCTTCAGGAGAGAGCCCTGGGTGGAGGGGGAAGAGAGGAGGATGGGTTACCCAAGGGAGATGGGTTGGTTGGGAAGAGGCCGGCCCCATCCCAGCGTGTTTTTTGGTTTTTTTTGGAGGAACATCACCCTCTGGGGCTGAAGCTGTGAACCTGGAAGCCAGAGCAGTAGGAGAAGGCCTCTTGTTGGAGGATGCCCACGCTCATCGCTCACCTTGATGGGTCCCTCCCGCATGATCTGCCCCAGCTTGGCAATATTGTCATACTCCTGGATGGCTGCCCGCAGGTAGCGGTCATCCTCGGGCTTGGCCGCCGAGGGTTCCCTCCCGAAGGTCCCCTGTGGAGGAGAGAGTGTCTGAGGAGGTGCCACAGGTGCTGGGAGCATGAGGAAGGTGTCCCAGGTGAGGGGCTGGTGGCTCACGTGGGTGCGGGCAGGGCTGTTCCAGAGGTCGGTGATCTCGCTCAGGTTCTCCGGCAGGTCATCCTCGTGCTCTGCTTGTGCTGCCAGCTCCATGTTCCTGCAGAAGGGGTCCAGCCACACCGGGTTGGCCCTGCCCAGAGGAGAAGAGCAGCCCTCAGTGCCAGCCAAGAGCAGCTGAAACCCCAGCAGCATCCCTCATCCCATCCACAGCCTGGTTGCTGAGGTCCTGCTGCCCCATGCAGACGTGAATTTGGCTGCTCTGGATCTTAGATGTGTGGTGGCACCTGCCCCTTGTCCCTGCTTACCCCCTCCAGCTCAGCCAGTAATGGCAGGGTTGGAGTCAAGGAGAAAGCAGGAGGTCTTCTGGTTTTGCTCTCTTGGGAGAAGCTTTGTGATGCTGCAACATGCTGTGCCACACGAGGTGGCACATGAGGTGGAGGAGACAACTCACCCATCAAAGGAGTACTTGTTGGTGTTCGGCATGTCCATGATGTCCATGAAGCCTCTGTTTCCTGGGAAAGGCAAGGGTGGGGGGTTATGGGATGGCCCATGGGTGGGCTGAGCCACCAGCCAGCCCACCTGCAGGCACAGGGGCCACTTCTTCATCTGTGAGGGCAACTTGGTGACCAAAAAGTCCCCAAGCTGGGATGTGCCCGATACCCCAGTGGCTGGGTGCTGGAAAAGCCTCCCACCATCCTGCCTGGCTGGGCAGGGTCACTTCCAATTTCCAGTGTCCCCTCTCCCGTGTCCCCTGTGCCCCCTCTGTGCTGTTCATGCAGCTGGGAGACCCCAAACTCTGCTCACCCGTGGAGCCAGCCACGATGGCTTTCAGCTTCCTTTTGTGCCTGTGGAGGAAAGACAGAGGCTCAGGGAGGAAAATAAGGAAGGTGCTCAGAAGAAGAGAGGACACAGCTCTGCAGTGGCCCAACAACCAGCTCCTGGATCCCTAAGGATGTCGAGCTTGGCAGGGAGAGGCGCCATTGGTATTAAACCCATTATATTTTGGGGGAAGAGGGGCAAATTTTGGCCCCAGGTTGTGCCCCACTGCGGGTGTTGGGATAATGATGCCCTCCTTGGCCTGCTGGCACCACCACAAAAAGTGCCTCTGGGGACATTGCAGCCATTTGGGCAGAGCCTGAGCGTTACTCACACTGTGCGGTAGTACCAGTTCATGAGGATGAAGAGCATGGCTGCCAGGAAAAGCAGGACAGCCAGCACGATGATTGCCATCTGGGGGAGACAGAGGGGTGGTGGCAACCTCCAGCACCCAGTGATGGGCACCTGCCCCACATCAATTGGGATGAGAAGGGATCTTCAGGCCCACTTGGGCCATTACCTGCAGAGCCGAGAGGTCATCTGGGGCCCGAGCGGTGATGGCGGGCTGCACGTCCAGCACGTTGTAGTTCCTGAAGAGGTTCCTCAGCTGCTCCTTGTTCTCA